TCCGTTCTTTCATCTTCTTCCCCCCCTTTTTTTTTTCTTTTTTTCTTTTTTGTTCTTCGTTCACCCCCTCCAGGTCTCCTTGTGGGCTATTTCAAACAAGTCCCCCAGTCAGATTCTCCCGTCCACAGTACATAAACCTTGAGTACCCTAGTCCTTTTTTTTTATTTTAAACGGGCCCCGTGCCCAAGGCTGATATTATCAATGAGAAAATTGAGGCTGGGGTCCTCACAGTCTACCCGGAAGAACCGAACAGAACCTGCTGAGAACCAGGCTCAGCGTCCCTCATGTAATGAAAACGATTATAATGATGATGATTGTAGTGATGGCGATGATTGTAAAACAGAGGATTAATCTATCAAAAGATCACAGAGGTACTATAACAGCAATCCTGATTTTTCCAACCCTAAGCAACTCCTCGCCAGCTATGAGACAACCTCCAAAAGACAATAACATCCAAGCAAGCATCAACCATAGTTATCATGTTCTCTCCACCTAGAATATTGCCCTACCAAACCCCGCACATCCCTGCAAACCCCCCTTAGTTTTCTTCTTCTCGCGATGAGCAAACCTCCTCCACCACATAGCTCGCAAGATGAAGAACAGTAGTCGGATGGCTTGCATGGTCCCACGATGAGTAGTAGGTTGTTATGGCAGCTCCCCCCCGTACACCAATGGATTACCTTCCACCCTCGACAATCCCCAGATCTATCTACAAGGCCTAGCGCTCCTACTACCTGCAGGTTACAGGGCAACGCCCCAGCATTGGCCAGCGTCGTTCTGGCATCGGCAAAGCAGGAGCACAGAACCAGACAACTCTGCTAACGACAGCCTGAAGTTTACAATCTCTTGGAATACTGTACCTCATAACAGGAAACTAGAAGTCACCAGGGGTGAAAGGACAGAAAGCTTGATATAGCATTCAGATGATAAGAAAATGAAAAATTTCCCCCCTTCCTTCTTTCCTCCATTTCCTCAATTCCCTTGTCCCATCATTGCCTCCGCTGAAGAAAAAAGACTAATTGATCCTTCCTCTTCTGCTCCAACTAGGTACAGTCCCACCTCATTTCCCCAGTGGCATACAGTTCCCACCCAAAGTATACCATTGTCTATCCCACCTAAAGTACCGCTGGGATTTAATGCCCAGCCCAGAATATAGTATTCATCACAATCTGCCCGTGCCCCCTCCAGGGTTTCACCACCCTCCTAATGAAACCCCTGCAGAGTTGGGCTCTCCCCGTCTCATACCATGTTATCCCACAGGAGAGATTCAGGATGATAGTAGTTTTAGAATTATAGAAAAAGACAACATATTCTTCAGAAATATCAGATGAAAATACGAATGTAGAAAAGGAGCATTCATGCCACTCAGAGATGAAATAAGAAATAGTTAAATAGTAATTTATAACTAGGTTCTTGATAGAAGGACTTGAGAGCAGATATGCGTGAAAAATTAGAAAACAAATGTATTAGTTAGGGATTTTCGGTATTAAAAAAAACAGTTTAGGTTATTAATATCTTATCTAAGATCCAAAGCTAAGATGGTTGATAATACAATAAAATCATTAAAAATTTAAAATGTTTAATTAGGATATGATTATAGATGGTAGTATTAAGAATGATGATTGTGATGATGACTATGGATAGATTTTTAGATTCTTAGATGACTAACTAGTTGGTTGTAGAAATTCTACGTTGATATAGAAAAGGAGACTTCCCCCACTATACCATGAAAACTTATGATGATGCTAATGCTAGGTAAAATCAGTAAAAAGAGACATGCGTGAAATCCCCCTCCCCCCCCCCTTCACCCAACCCTATTTCTATCGTATCTACCTCTCTATCTCCCCTACCTCTCCCTCATTGTCCTCCACCCTTATCCTCTCCCTCTCCCTCCCTCATCTTCATCACCCTGCCATCTTGCGCACAACCCAACCAGCCCTTGCGAAGCCCTGTAACAAAGCAGTTGCGGTGAGACAAATGAGCTCGCAGTGTCTTACAACGAGTGACGGTCGGTAGGCGAGGACAAAAAGCAGGAAGGTAAAAGTAGAAGAGAAGGAAAAAGAAAAGATGAGAGGTAAGAGAATAGAATAGGAATAGAGAAAGAGATTTCCTACCCAAAATATCCCTACTTACTCATTTCACGACACAACTGAGAAAACGAAACTGATGATGATGATGAACCCATATCTCAACACCACTTAAAAAACAATGATGATAACGATGATGGATGATGATTGTGTTATTGCCGATGATGATCTTTTGTGATTGACGCTCAGCTGAAGCAGAACGGGCGATGATCAGCCAACGACCTGAAAACGAGTTGAAGTTTGCCCTCTTGTGACGAACACTTAGCTGCTCTTGGGCTCCAGCTTCAAGTACCTCCCACTCATTATCCCCCAACAATCCTCCTCCCACCACGCAGGACACACTGAACTCTTCTCCTTCTCGCGATGAACCGACCATCCTCCACCTAAATTCGCAAGATGTAGTGATTACTCATGAAGTACCACTCGATACCAAACAATACTCCCCTCCTTTCGATATGTTAGCCTGCAGCATCACTCACATGAAGCGCGAAGCAGAGAGATGACACTGACGTGCTTTCAAAAGTCAGAGGGCATTAAGTGACGAGGTTCAAGCCGTTAATCACCATCCCGTATTCCACTCCATGCTCGTCGTAGATTTCGGCCACTTACACTCCCTGGTGCTCACCTTCCTGCGCAAGCGCCCGCGCACTGAAGCGTGCGTTAACACGCTTCGCACACGCACGAGCACCCTTGCGCGAGCACCCCCGTGTGCGAGCACCATCACGCGCGAACAGTCGTGCCAGCCACGCAGATGGGTTGTGCACGTGCGCCAGACGCAGTGCTAGCGGGTGTTCCATCGTGGCACAAAGCATCTGAACGGCGCACGACCTGACTAGTTGCGGCTGGTTGCCAGCCAGCGCTCTTCCGGGGTCTTCATCGTCACTCAGAATGGGTCACCAATCTACTGGCAAGGCTTCCGTCATTTCTTCGAGTACCCTACTAGTCCTGGTCTTCCCCTATCATGCTTTGTCCCGCCCCATCTTGTTTCCCCCATCCCGAAAGCCTCTTTAAACATCATGGCAATTATCAAGGAGGATGCACGAAAGAAGAAAAAAGGCGGAAAATTGGTGATCTTGTACCTTGGGGCAGTCAGGCATCACTCAGGCCGCAGACCCCACCCTTCTAAGAGTGTCAAAAAAGGCACAGACCCCAACAGAGGAATCTATAGCAAACTTAGGGGAGAACAAAACAGAACCTCACGGGCTAAACATCGAACAAGAAAAGCTAAAAAAAAAACAAATGACAAAATAGAAAGCCTGACATCCCCAGCCTCCTCACACTTATGGCCAAGCAAACTAAAGAAACTGTATTGTGGGGAATAACTGATTGTAAGAAGGGAGGGACAGGGGTTGGAAGAGGGACAACAG